ATCCAATTCAAAATTCCAGAGGAATAAATATCTCACTAAATTGTTCTACTTAATGTATAAATCTATTTTTTATAATTGATAATAAATAAATATAACAATTAAATAAAAAAATCTTAGTTAATAAAATCCATACGTTTCGAAATTACTTTGAAAAGTGGCACACCTTTAGAGGGTGGAAGCACGGGTGTAAGGTTTGTGACGAATGCGATCACCATTCACACCTATATTGCAAAACGTGCAAAAAAGTAGCGGATGGAATATATAAGCGATGTGAATGTGAAAATTCTTGAATAATTAATGTTAAATAAAAATATGCATTTCTGTGAATCGGAAGTAGGTAGAGAAGATTATTATTATCAACCGCAAGCACTATTTTCAGTAATAGACAGGTGTATTTTTTTAAACTCTAGTCTTTTTCTATAGTTTTCAGAGTGCTTCTGATAAACTTATATCAATCATATAGGTGGTGTTTGTTTTTTACTATATGACACCTGTGGTGTTTTTTTTTGTTATCTATTTTGACTATTAATTTATATTCACTAGGTAAATATAATGTGTAAAATGTGTAATATTTATTTATTTTTATTGATACACCAATGCTGGTTGTCCAATGACTAAATAAAACATAACAATAGTAAGATTTTCTATAATAATTTAGGCGTTTTGATAAAGCATTCCCAAAGGAGTGATAACACTGAGTTTCCGATTTGTGCTCTCATTTTCTAATTCTACATGAGTAATATTATCGTTGAGCTGTAAAAATTTGTAGTATTTTTAGTATAGATGTAGAAGCATTCTCACTTTATGAGACTTCAGAATTTTGATTGGTGGAAATCTTTTTCTTTTTTTGTTACAAGAATATTATCGAAATGTTATAGTTTATTTCAAAAACGAACTTGTTGCACTTTTTTATTTTATTATTCATTTTCTACGTTACATAATTATCTATAGCATCAAATCATAACAAAATAACTAGTTTAAAAAGACTCTTTTCACGCTAATTCAGGTATCTTTAACACTTGACGTACTGTAACATTTTTAGAACGAAGTATTGACCCGTTGATTTCTTCTAATAATTCGTCCTGCTTAATTAATTCATCCTATGGAAACATACCATCATATTATGACTTTGTGAAAGTAATTATATTTATAAAGAAAGTAGACAAAACTTACATGGAATATAGACATCATTCTGAGAACTGATTTATATTGATGCCGTCCGCTAAAACTGAAGGGCATGACGGCGGTGGCAAGTTCACACGACAGAAAGCGTCCATCACGGAGGATATTTAATGAATATAGCGTTAATCGGGAATCTGAAAATGGGAACAGGTTATCATACATTGCAGTGACTAACAAAACTAACAAAACATAGATCTACTTACTAATTGATAGCATACTGAACACCTTTATCCTCGTAGCAAGGTTGATATCACAATCAAGATGTTCCCGTAAGATTGTAATTAGATTTAGGATATCTGTTCGAATTGTTTTCTTTGAATCACCTAGAATGTGTTTATTGGGTGCATTATAGGGAGGACCTGCGACTTCTAAATGCCAAACATCAAGCCCATCGGAAAACCTTGTCGCCTTTGCGTCCACTAGAACAATGCCAGAATTTGATTCTGACTTCATCAGTTTTGCCGGGCGGGAGTGAGATTCAATCCAATCAATATCCAAGGTTAGAAATGTTCTCTCATAAAATTTGAATAGTGCTGATACTTGATAAACTATATGCTTTCGCTCGCCTATTTTTCTATCAATAGTGGGACCAACATCTACAAGATTGTAGCTAAAGGAAAAGCAATTGTTAACAGTTACTTTGATGGGTAATAGATATTAATGTCTACCTACAAGTCGGTGAGAACTTTCTCACAATATAGGCGGAAACCTTCATCTATATCTTTATAATTCTTATTTATAACTGCATTCTTGAAGTTTTCACCAGATTCCTTGAGAACGTCATTTATATATTCTTCTAAATCAGAATTCCACACAACGGGATTTCTATCACGCATAGAGAACAATTCTTTGGTGAGTTCTGTGCCAATTTCTGTTTCCAATTCTTTGGCTGTTAACGCAAATGCACATATAACGGAATTGTTTTGAGTGTAACTGTTACATAGAAGAGCAAACTACTGTTAGAATAACTTCTGTTTTATAAGCAACACAACTAGCAGAAACTTACTCCCAAAGTTCTTCCTTCTCTATTGGACGCTTGTTTGGTGTATTTAATAAATATGTTAATTCTCGAGGAGTTTGTGGTGGGGTTTTAGGTGGTAAAGTATCTGTAGCGTCTGAAAGTTGTATAGTAATTGAAGGTGATAAAGGGTCTGGAGATAGCAAAGCATCCGAGGGTTGTAATTGTGCTTGAATGATTTCTGTTTTCGAGTTAAGTAATAGTGTATTCTGAAAGGTGATGAAACGTAAACTTCCATTCGACATGTGCACATAACTGCAAATCAAGTATCAACCAACCTCGACTGTGTCGTTGAGAACGGCTGATTGCCTTTGATATTTGGTAGCTTCGAAATATTTTCGGCATTCTTGGATAATCGTAATTCCTGCACGGGACTGTGATGATTGAGTTTTACTCCTATATTATTATTAAACAAAAAATACTGCCTACCTTTAACCACTCTAAGTAATTATGGCAGAACGCTTTTATCGGATTGGGCGTGGATGCGAACTGATTTAATTGATCTAAGCTCTCTCTAAATATTATGACCGCTTGTTCGAAGTTAATCTCGGAATCAACAGCATACTTAGTGAAATTTTGAAGGCACCATAAAGATGCTTCCTCGATCGTGAAATAAACGTGAACTCCTCGTGTATCCGGACTGGCCAGAAATTTGAAATACGTGGTTGAAAGAAGACGAGGTTCACGTTCTGTAATGCAGTTTTTTTTCGTGGACCTTATAATTCACTTTAGACATCGCGAGTCAATTTACTCTGACGAAAAAATAAAATAACAAAAATCGCGACGTGTTGATCATGTGGTCAGTTTATATACCCTACTCATTTCTAAGCCACTTAATAAAATATGTTTCGGAAAATTTTTAGATCCAATTCCGTTTATGGAAAAATACTTTTTTTCTCATTTTAAAATTGCCACCCACGCGTCCATGCCGGTCATCAGACGGTGGACGGTGCTGGAAGTGCGAAGGGGGAACTATCATCCTGTCATCAGACGGTGACTCCCACAACGCAACCCTGTCTGCTGGTTTAACCATCAGGTGATCAGCAAACAGAAGTGCAAGCAGGAAGATCTCACTTTGCCATCAGGCGGTGAACTTTCTACTTGTAAAGGTAGGCCACCAAATTTCGTGCGGTCATCAGACGACGAGTTGGTGGATACTGGTGATGGTTAATATTGTCTAACCTGGCCAGAAACGGTTTAACTTTTTGCTATATTTTTTTTTCTTTTGTAAAATACAAAAATTTACCTTTATTTTTATCTTTCATTCGCTTGTTTTCTCAGTTACGGAAAGAACGTCTCATAACCAAGATCTTTTATCATATGATAGGTAAAGATAATTCATCAGAGCAATCCGATTCACCATGTGTCGTAAGAACCACTACAGTGAAAACTGATATAATTAAAGAAGTAATTTAAATCATGGCTTTATTAATATCTGTAATAATATTTTTTTTACAAATTACAATGTAAAAGCCGGCCTATATAATTAAAATCGTGGAATTTAGTATACAATACAAATCCAGACCGTCTTCCAATTTCTGTATTATTCGACGATCCAGAAGAAAAACAAATTCATGTTACTAAAATGATATTAGACCGATTCACTAATTTATCTTTAAGTGGAGCAATGAATATGCCGATTATTTCGATTATTCAGAAACATATCAAGTATGTAATGAGATGATGATGTAAAAGGTTGGTGGGATTACGGTGAAGAAACTTACCGTTTCTATTGTTGTAAGAGAACTTTTAGTACGCGATTGTGTAAATGTTGGAAGGCCTATACTGGAATCCCATAATAAAATTAACTCAATAGTCTCCATTAATTAATAATCGCAAGTTACATTGTAAAAAATCGTAAAAAAATAAAAAAATGGTGAGGGCATGGGAGCCCTTCTTTATTTAATAATTTTTTTTGTCGGAATGACAATATACAAATAAAGAAATTATATTTATTTTTTGGTTAATAATTTTTGGAGTTTATTAAAATCTATCGATGATCCATCATTAGATCTTGTTTTCAAACTTAAAGTATCAGTTGTCTTTGTTCCATCTTTTCGTATTTCTTCATGCTTTCCTAATATTAATGAAATAAAAAACTTAATTCTAAAAAATATATTTTTTCTCGCAAGCTCGAAAAAGAAAAACAAGTTATCATCTTTTGTTCAGGCCCTTGGTACACCGAAGGTGACCAAAGATTGCGAGAAGGCGGGATAAAAAGTTTTCTTACTAGTTAGAGTAATATCCACGGGGTTTGGTGTAGATGGCGTCGGGTTATTAGTCGTGGGGGTGGTAGTGTCATAGGTGGTTGTGATAGTGGTGGTTGTGTTAGTCGTGGGGGTGGTGTTATTAGTCGTGGGGGTGTCATTGGTTGTGGGGGTAGTATTATCGTTAGTGGACATTTTACGTTTCTAAATAAAAAATATAGTAAGTAAAGTTTCGTTTTTATAGACTATTAAATGGTATAACACATTACTTTAAAAATAAATTATGAACGGGCAAAAATATGTATTGACAAAAAAAATATTATTATAACCCACCCTATAAGAAACAAAAAAAATCGCTTATTTTATACTTCACGTTCGTTAGATCTAGTGAACCTGCCAGAAGAAAAATCACAAGCTTAGTAATTACGTTACTCTAACACAACGTCAGATCACACTTAACAAAGCAACTCCGCTCGGTCATAAGTTCCAAACACTGAACGTATTTTGTTATTTTTTCTGGTAAAATTAACCCCCCTTAGATTTGACGATCACTACTACGAAGTAAAAAAGTTAACGATCTAGACGATCTGGAATTCCAAGTTTCTGTGACATATGAATTTTGATAAAGCTACTGATTAAGAATGTTATACTCTTTTCTCTTATAGCCCTTTTAAGTTCCATTTGCGCTTTTCTTATCGCAGTATCATATATAATAAGAAAAGGCTTTCTAGATATCTATTATAAATCAAAAATTGAACGTGAGAAAAAGGCAGGTTGGTAGTACATGACCCCAGGTCACAATATCACATGACTAAAATTAGTTTATTTTTTTATTACGATCGGATTGTTAATATTAAGACTTTAAATAACAATATATAATATACAAGAGAATCGGATTTTTATTAAGATAAGTAAAATTACAAATATTACTAACACTAAAGACATAAAAAAGAGTATTATTTACTAATTCTATGAATAATTTAACCTATCATTCAGAATATGGCAGACTAAAATGTGTAAATGTAAGGCCTGAACTATCATTAATTCTAAATCCTCTAATAATCATCTATTTCGCATAATCTATGTTTGTAACTCTAAGCTAATTTGACCCCATGTTAGCCAAGTCTCTCCTACAGTTGCAACAATATCGATCATACTCCAATTAGGTTATGTGATAAAATTCTTGTAAGTATATGGGGTCTTTGCCTTGAAAATGACCCTACGAGACATTGTTACACAAGATTTTTATTAAGAAAAACATAGTAAATCTATTTTTAGAAAAGGCAAAGACCCCATATATGGGTTAGTCGAAAGCGTTTATGTAAGCAAAGATTAATTAAGGTTTGGACTAGTTTATTTCGTATGTTTTAACTAGTTAACTATAGTTAACTACTCGAACAAGTTAATGTGTCGCACTAATGCAATGAGCCTTGAGAATTTTATAATAATAATTTTATCTACTCGAACAATAGATACTATAGTCAACTATT